AAATAAATAGGTATTGCAACTTTAAACTAATTATAAATAAACCTTAAATGGTATTATATTTTTTATTATTTCATAGATTTTTACTCGTTAAATTATTGTAAACTATATATATATATATATATATATACATAAAATTTAAAAAAAAAATAACAAATTGGAGTTAAAAAAATCTTAATTTTTTGTCTAGTATATTTCTATTAGCTTATAAAAAAAACGAAAACAACGACTGGCCTGGTGCTAAAAAATAATAATACTGCAAAGCCAATATTAAGCATGTTCAGCTCCGCCTCGAAGTTAAAACGTTATGGAATATAATTTAACAATAATTTAAATAATAACGTGAGAATAAATTGTCGATTTTCAGAGATGTTGGCTTCAATCCTGTTTGGAAAAAAATAGTTGAGCAGATTGTCGAGCAAACTCCTATGTCTGGTGATTTAATTGACGGGCCTTTGTGGTTGAGTTATGGGACAGGGGCGCCATATTGGACTAATGATAACGAGCCAAATTCGACTAGTCATTAGACCACGTTCAAATTGATGTTGTTTAAAAATTTTGGGTCATTATGACTATAAAGTCAAATTTCCTACACAGGGACGAACACGATACTCTCATTGGCCAATAAAATATTTTATTTTTACTTGTATTTACAATATAACAAAATAATAATAATAAAAAAAATAATGTCTCAAGTCAATCGTTTGTTTTGAATTCATTTGTTTAACCATTGTTTTTTTTAGTCTCCTCTAGTCGGTTGTAACAATTTTAATAACCACAAACCCAATATAATGTACACAATCTAAGCGCATGCATTATAATAGATGCCATAGTGGCCACAGATTGAGTTCTAAGCTAAATAGGAGAAACAATTTAAAGTAGAGTCACTTGTGGTTTTATTGTCTTTGGTGATTGCTAGGTACTTAATGAAACGCTCTATTGCTCTGTTGGGTATTTTATATATTATAACTGAAATCCTACAACAGTTCTTTTCGTTAAATTGATTTCTAATGATTTATGATATTTATGTGGCTTTATTGTCAAGTACGATTCCTGTTCACTATGTTCAATGCACTAAATCCTTTGAAATAGTTAACTGACCAGCCTTAAGGGGTTGCTGCAGTTACCACGAATGTTGCATGCCACGAAAGTATTTTACTTCGAATATACATGATAAGAATACTTGACCACCGGGCACCGACTATTCCGTGACTTCTATGATTGTATTATGAAAATATATTATTGTCAGTATTTGTATGCCTTAGATATTTTGGTGTACAAACAGGGAAATTACAAATTGCTATTTAAATATAGTTGCCGCTAATACTGTGTTGTGCGGCCCGAATGAGTTAATTTCTGTAATGGGCCGAACACTTGTCCATCCCGCCACTAAATCCAACTCTACACAAAAGTTTTGTGCATAAAATAAAAGCAAAAAGGTACTAAGTACCTTTACCTTGTAATGACCTTTTTATTACAACACAATACTGTATTAAATAATTATTTTTAAATAATTCATACTTGAATATTTAAAAAAAAGTAATATTCAATTGTATACATCAACAGTGGAATTACAACAGTAAAACAGTAATTTATTAACTTCCAAAATAACAAATTAAATTATAAAAAAATATTTGATAATTTTTATTATTGTTTATAAATCTTCGTGATTTGTAATATTCCATCGAGAGTCTGAATTACATTCTTTGCATTTTGGTCCAACCATAGCTTTTGCAAACCGTTCGTTAGAAAAGTATGAGTTTGCCAAATTTATTATGTCTTCAACTTTTACACCTAGTATTCTGATACTCCGCTTCAGATATTATAATATTAATAATTTATTAAATGGAAAATTAGTTTCAATAAAAATGAAAAAATTTTAATAATAATAATAATATTTTATTTTAATGTTTTAATAACGCCCAATGTCTAAAATCACACCATATAAAAAAAATAAAAATAAGTCAACATTAATAAGTGTCTAATTTAGTTCAAGCTGCATCAACAGCAGCTCAATATATATATATATATAATAAAATAAACATCAAGTAAGTGAAAATAAATGTTCAGACAACTTTTTTGATTACCACTTCTAAAAACGGTCTAAGAACACAGAATACCTATAATTTTTGAATATAAGACTGTATAAAAATACATTTATGTGTTGGTTAAATGATTATTTTAAGGCTAGGAAGTACAACTGGAATGATTATAACAGTATAAGATGTGCAATGTGTCATGTGATTAAAATTAATTAGATATTAACGTTAAATTGTATCTGCTAACGAATATTTTTTAATCCGTGATTGTTTTTTATAATTGGTTATAAAAGCTGTACTTTTTATAAGTAATAAATAGTCAAATATTTACTTTGATATCATTTTAACTTTGAGTTACTTCTTGCTGAACAATTTTAAACTTTTTTTTAACTCAGATGAATATATGCAAAAAAATCTTGGATAGAGTTAAGTGGTCAATTTTTGTAGACAATAAGTAAGGTCTTCGAATTTTGTTGAAATATTGGTTTATAATATAACCTAAAAAATAAACTTCTTCGTCACTATACTACTGCTACTAATCTAATTACATCAGTCTTCTAAAATTAAATATGCATACAATTTATATAACATGGGTAGGTAATACAAAATGTATAAATAAGGCATTCGTTTTGAATTAAATTGGTATTTACATTGAAATAACTACCTACAAAGTAACTCTTAATTGTATTTTTTTTTTACATACAATCATAAAGTATACCTCATCACTATAATTCGATAAAAAGTTTGATGTGTGTAAAACCAAATAATTAATATCAATAGGAATATTATAATATTATAAAACACTAGTAGATATTTCAGTAAAATGAAATATTATAATTGATATAATTGATACTAATATCAGTTTAAAATGTTCAACTGACCATAATATGCTAACTAACTTAAACTGTCATTAGGATTCAGCTAAAATTTAACCGAAAAAGTTAATTAAGTCAATTTGTTTAGTTTAACTTTGATAAAATGTCCCTAAGCATATTAACTTAGGTACTTTACTTAAGTAAAGCAACAGAGTGAATAAGTATTACAAATTTACAGTTTATCAATTTATATTTTTATATAAATTAGTTGTTTGGTCAGTGTAAATGGAATTTAAGGTCAATATAATGTTTATCAATGTATGTACATTTCCTATAAAATAGCGAAAACATAATTTCGCAGTAAATGTATTCGTGTCAATTGTCGTCGAAGCAATTGTCATTCGTAACAAAAAATTCGGAGTAACGTCACATCGTAGCACGCAACGTTCGTGGTAACTGTGTTATCCCATTTATAACCAGCCTTAAGTTATATAACCAATTTTTCTTCCATGACCTAGGACAATTTTTTTTGTTTGCCGCCGAAGCCTTCCAATAATTGCCATTTACAAAAAAAAAAACTTTTATTTTCCCGTTTCGACTGTGTGTTTAGATTAAAAAGTTCAGTTTTGTGTAAATTGTCTCTTCAGTCAAAGCCAAAAACTCTTCTGCAAGACAATTAGTTTCGTTTTACCAAGTCCTTAAACGTAAGTACCTAAATATAATTGATTATTAAGAAGTTAATAAAAATAATAATATTATGTTCAAAGCCCTGCAAAACTTTGGCGTTGGTAATATTTAAAAATTATCGAAATAATACCTATGTATTTATATGTATAATATGTATTTTAATTTGGTAATCGAAGCGACCAACCTAAAATATTATATCTACTAAGAAATGGCATTGTGAAAAAAAACTCCCACGGCTATTTAATTTTGATTATATTTTTTAATTCTGTTTTTGGCATTGTTAATTTGATGTGTTTCTACACAGAGTGTATTGCTTTATGTCCAAGTATTCAATTTTACTACTGGTCTGTTAGCAAATTGCAATGTAATAGGCAAAAGAGTAAGCACAGATGTATGGAGGTGAAAAGGGGGATTCACAATACCCCTTCTCCCTCGCCCTTTGAAGTATTTTTTTTAAATAAATGTTTGACATATTTTCATACGTTTTACAAAGTACCTATGCAAGTATACATACTTTTATGACACAAAAAACAGAATTTAATGAAATTGATTTATTTAATTATTAAATAACATAATTGTGTTACTCATTCAGGAAAAGTAGTTCTAATTGATTGTAAAATTGCTAAATTAAAATTAGATACCTACATTAAAAAACAATAAAGGTTGTATTGTTTTTATCTTGATAAATCACATATTTAAATTAAAAAAATGGTAGCTACCTAATTACCTAAGCTCATTATAGGTATATATACTCAATGGTTTACTGTCATAGTGTTTTTTCATAAATTCCTTTCAACAAAACTGTTTGTATTGCACATTGTGAAATTTGATAAAACTCAGAAAAAATAGGCGTTGTACCATTATGTGACCGATTGTAAATCACAATATTAATGTTAAAACCAAAACTGCCGTTTAATGAGAAAAATGTTTAAAAATTGAAATAACAAAAAAAATGTACGGAAGACCGTCAAAATTTAACCGAACACTCTCAACAAATATCAAACACGGTACATTCATATTTTGACATTTTTGATTAGTTTATATATAAAATTATTTTAAGCATATTAAAAAAGGTGGGTAATTTTAATCACAAAATATATTCTGTTATGATGAGTAGATTTTGTTTCTGTTGTTTTAATAATGAAAGACATTGTTTTCACAACAGAAATGTGTTCGTTCATAATGCTAAAACATACTATGTGAATTTTAATCGGTAAATGGCTGCAATAGAAAACAATTACTAAAACTATAATTCTTAACGATTTTAATTCATAGCTGTTGTATAAGTCGTCGTTAAATAAAAACGTTATAACTTATCTCACAGTAAACTACGTTCAAGTATTTCCAACATTTGTTTACAATGATTAAACAAATTCATAGAATTTCATTATTTAACTGTCTTAAACGTTAAAAATATTGTTTTAAAACATAATAACAATTGGCATTTATTTTTTTATTTTATTTTTAATACTAACGATAAATTGAATGCGATAAAAAAACAATTAGGAATATATTTTAATAAATACAATGTATAAAAAATTATATTATATTTATACATTTTTTCTTATAATTACAAAAAAAAAAAATTGTTAACAAATAAGTTAATAGTGTAGGTAAGAAGCTTTTGAAGTTGATTCCGACTCGGTTGTTTTTTTACAATATCACTTTAATTTCCTGAAAATATAATAGTATATTAGTTACACGTTTCATTTTGTTTTGATTTTAGTTATTATTTCAACAATCAACAGCAATAGATTCAACATTAGAGTTTCTGAATATTTTTAGTATACATTAAACAAATTGAAAATGTTTACACTCCTCATGTTTTACTCAAACTAAATACTTGTAGAAAAATATTAGAAAATAATTGCCATCATTATTCTTTCAAATTAACAATTTATTACTGAGCATAATGTATGACAAATAACAGGTTAAAAATAAAAAAGTTAACAATTTTGGTAAAATCTGTAATTTTATAAAGTATTAAAATTCAATAAGTATATTTTGATCTACCATCTACCCTCCGTTCCATCAAACTCAAATTAATTACTAAAATGTGGAAGTTAATATAGAAGCGTTGAGGTAAGACTAGATTTTTTCATCTTAGATTAAAAGTTAGGAAGGCATTTTTTTAGATTAGAAAACGTAACAAACGAGAAAATATATTTGTACGTAGCAAGTAAAAGAATAAATTTGCAGTATTTTTAGGATGAAACAAAATTTTACCTGAACTAGCGTGTCGTGACTTTGTATTCGAACAAAACGCTTCAAACACTCGTAACACTTTCCCGTCATCTTCAAATGTCCTTTCATCTGCAATAATATAGTCGTAAAAAGTTGTTAGCATATTGACTTAATTTTAATTCACAATTCATACACAAAAAATTATTATTATGATATTATTTAACAAATATCTCATCATCGTCTAACTTACATTTCTTTCCTGCGCTAACGTTCTTTTCGTTATGGTGATGATAAAATTGTAGTGGCGGAATGGGTCGAAGTCTCGTGACATCCCAAACAGATCGGTTATCTTTCGCCGCCTATAATTTCAATTTAATTTGCGGTTAATTAAAAAGTAAATAAATAAAAATAAAAAAAACTTTTAAAAGCATTTTAGTACATCATAACTAATAATATATTTTTTACAACAATGACTTGGTTATAACAAAATAAAATTGTGAATCGTTTCACGATAATGTATCAACGTAATTATATATTTTATACATATTCCAATTGAAAAAAAAAAAATTAAAACCTTCACACTACACACACTTATTGCTTGGGGCTGTTAATAACAAAAATTTGTTAGTTTGTTCATTAAATTATAACAGCCATAATTCATAAGCATAAATACTATACGTTAATATGCTTACAATGTACACAAAACACATTTCATTATTATTATTTGTTCTAAATTCCAGCAATTTTAATACACATTGGTGGAGAATTGGGAGTCTATCGTGTGATTTTACTAGTACTGGCAAGATTGGCTATGTGATTCGAGGCATTTAAATAAGTAGAAAAGTATTTATAAGAGAGGGGGGGGGTGGGACACAATGAACAATACAATTATTTTAGAATGGAAATAATGTACTAAAAATAAATATTTATTTTATTTGAATTTCTATAGTTGATATTATTTTATCGTCATGATCGTTAAACTATGTTGCTCGGAGTCGTTTAAAATTACTGGACATATTTCATCGGGTGTTAGTACTGTAAGACCGTACTCATACGGTTTTGTACATTACATTGGCAGCACAATCACACGCTTATGCATTACAATAAAAAAAATGATATTATCTTGCCTGAATCACAACTGCCAGACGACACTTGTAATTTTTTTTTGAGCCACCAATGTGCATATAGTTCAGAACGAAACGTAACACCCTGAGCGGACGGGCTAGGCAATTTATCTGTCGACCCAGAATCGTCTTCGAATATAGACGAATTGATGTTCAACGACGATGAACATTTACACAAATATCCGTTACTCGACGTTTCAGTAGGAGGAAACGGCGACTGTTGATTGACCGGCATGGTAATATCGGCCAGGCCCGAATCCGAAGATCGCAAGCTATTGTGATTGTTGTTTAACTTAAAATATTGGAATTCGTTACTGATTTCGGTGCCTTTGTCGTCTTGGCCACAGTTATCGGAATAATTGGACGTTTGCAACTCGCACAACGAATACGTGCTGTCTCGGTTGTCAAAAGAAAAATTTGACTCTTTCTTGTCGTCGACATTCAATAGCGGTATGGTTAAGTATTTTTTCAAGCAGTACTGATTACAAGGTTCACAGCAGTGGTTATGCTCGTTCCGGCCATTAGTAGTTTTTTTCACGTCTTCACTGTACAACGTCAGTTTGGTCAAATCTTCGCAAACTTCTTTTGCTTGTAAAGGCGTAAACAACAACTTTTTACCGTACACTATTTGTCCGTCTTCTTTCAGCACCATCGACGAAAAATGTCTGGGATTTTTTATGTTCGACACATTTGAATCTCCTTCAGATTGATTGCCTTCCGATAGGAATTTATTTATTTTGTTATACTGACACATAGATTGTTTAGCTCTATTCGCTTGACGCCTAACGACTTGTGACGTGTCCACACTATTCGCACGCTTATAGAGGATCGCTTTTAAAAGAGAACTAGTTATGACGCCCTTGCAAACCATGTGTGCAAAATAATCACTAAGACGACCAAGGCTTAAACTTACTGATGTACTTGAAGTTTTACTTATGGCACTTTTGTTGGTTCCTAATTGTTGGTTGATTTTTTGCACCCATTCTATTTGCTCTTTTGTTGTTTGACAAACGGCTATTATGTGTTCAATCATCGGTCCTAGAATCAATTTTCAAACCAACGTTTTATTTAGCGATTACTTGCTCAAAAAAAAAAAATATATATATATTTGTTTATACCAGATATTTCAAAAGCATTTTTAACACTTCCGCTGTTTTCCAGTTTTTTCACACAAATACCGGTCAATGGCAGTTTTCCCTAAAAACAAAATAAAAACACATTTAAAAAAGGAAAAATTAATTTACAGTTTTGGGTAGAAACGTAACGAGTGTAATGTGTACTGTAACAATGTAATTTTTTTTTTTTTACTCCATTACACAGTTTCATTACATTCTGTGATAGATAATGAATAAGTAATTTTTACTACTTTTCATCACCCATAAAAAAATAATTTGTGTTTTAGTTCATTACCTAGTAATGAAGATAAAAATAACAATAATATCTTGCCAAGTCATAACAGTCAAAAGATAATTAAAAAAAAAAAATCAATATTAGTTAAAATTTTTTAGAAGTACTTTTTTTTACTCTATATAAATAAAGTAATTTTGTTACAACACTAGTTAATTTATCATCGATCTCGGCTAACTCGTACTTACTTCGTATATAAACGAACTAAGTCTTTGCGACACGGATAAAATCAGTAGATGAGTAGAAAATAGTACAAGGTATCTGTCTTTGTGTTCCGGACTAAACGCAACTGAACCGATTTTGATCACATCTCCTAGGCTGCCTGCGTCTGCGCCTTCCCAACCTTGTACAACGCCACTCAATATTGACAACTCGAGTTCCTTTTGTCTTCTCGTTGACAAACATACGGACTAGAAATAAATACATTTTTGTATGAGGAAGGCTTTCCTGATTTAACTTAAATATTAGCGTAACATTATTTTATCTTAAAATACACTTGAACGTACGGCAATTTCTTTGTAAACCCAAACCGAACGTTGCGTGTCTCCTCTGTCGACGTGATTTTCTTCTAAATGCCTTTCTAGTTCTTGCAACATTCCGCTGTACTTATCCAATCTTCGGAACGGTTTACTTAACGAAACTGTTAGCACTAAAATACCGGGGCTAACGGCACCTTGAGTTTCCATTACTTGATTTAATTCATCCCTGATAAAACGTTTAATAATAAATGAAAAAAGATCTTCTTATTTGATTTAGTGTTGTTAGGGTCTACTTGTATTTTTCAATAATGTTGACCGCTCGTGGATGGGAAGAACAATAATGCAAATGCACTGATCGGATATTGGAAGCTTTATTTAAAAACAGTTTGCCAATTCTCTGTTCGCTTTGAGACTGTGCAGCGGCTTGTTCTAACGATTCTAGTAGGCTTTCGTGAATTCTAGACACTTCTTCTATGTTGTTTATCAACTGATTATACTCGTCAGCTGTCATTCTGCAAACAAATTATACATTTAATCAAATTCAGCTCGTAACGTTTTTTTTATAGATTTTTTTACATATTTGAGTTTTTTAGAGGAATCAAAAAGCTTTGTATCAGCGTTTTCAATTCGGTAACGTGTGCTCTTTCCGATTCTACAATGTCCATGACGACCACGGCTCTATTGCTCCTAAGCTGTTCCACTAGATCAACGGGTAGGTTTGGCACATTACTATCGGCTGTATATTCTGCTAGAAAAATGTACGACCCGATATTATTGAAATATACATTTTAAACAAACAAACCGTCATTGACCAACTATTAATAACGATCAAACATTACCTTGAGGCATATATTCCCGGACATAGTTCGATGGGAACCATCCAGTTTTTTCTTTAAGGGTACCTTCCCACCAGCCGCCTTCCTCTTTTTGTGTTACAGTAACGATATCGCCTTTTTTCAAACACAACTGTAAAGATGAAAAAATACAAAATATACACTTTTTATCTTTCAATAATCAAAAGTCATTCTGTGATAAGCAAGACATAAGGAAAAGCACAGTTTTATAATGTTCTACATATTTTCCAGGTTTCTATACAAATTTAATAATCATATTTATTTAGATAATGTATTGGGGAGGATGGACAGACACGTTGGAATACAAAAGTTTTATACCTACTTCATATAGATATTAAACTATAATTAAACTTAGAAATCTAAGTCATGCAACTTTTATTTGTAGTTAAACAAAAAAATCTTAAAAATAAATTCTACTTAATAACATAAACGAAAATGTTCATACCACAACACCTGTTCAAGGCCTCCTCTAAGAATACAAAATGATAAAAGACATGAAAATACAACATTACAATTGATATTAATCTTTCTTGTAAGCACATTATTATTATTTATTTTTAACTAAACAAATATTATTTATTGATCGCAGCAAGGTATATTAGCCGAAAAGCTAGTAATAAAATTAAAAACCGATCTAAAGAACTATACTGTATGAATAGCCTTACCTCATCGTTGTTTTTTCCTTTAAACGAATACACGGCTTGCACCAATAGAGGATCGTTTGATGACATTTTGCCGGAATTATGTTACGTCATAAACTATAACAGACACAATAAACGAGACAAATATTAATAAAAAAAAAACGCTCAATAATAATATGCTACTGGGAAACAAAACAGTCCATTGATAAACGAGATTTTGAACTTCAAAGTGCACGATAAAAATAAGTGTAGGTACCTAGATATAAGTGACAAGTGTTTTTTTGGCAGCGTTCCTGTGACAATAAAATAGTGTCTGTGTTTGTGTATGAGTGTGTCTTTAGGAATGTTGGATTGCAGCCAATTCATGGTTTAAAATGTAACATTTGGGATTAATATTCGTAGAAAGTATTAACAAAAAATTTAGTAAGCATGAAAATTATATTTAGACCGACACTTAAAATAATATACATTTAATTATCCGTTTTGCATAACAAAATTGTGAATAAAAAAAAAAAAAATCAACCTTCCGCTTAGTTGGACAATGTTTTTTTCTGTAAAAACCAGGAAATAAGCCATCTCGTTTTACTAAAATAGTTTAAGTGATCACAGTATTTTATATATATTTTAACACGGTTATAACCATACCTAATGTGGTGAATAACGACTTCTACGTTCTATGGTGATTCGTAGGGTTGAAACTTAGTTTTACCGACACCGACAGTGTACGATTACTTACTCAAAAGATTTGCAATTCGTTTGTCCTGTAATCATTCGATTTTCGATTATCGTCGGCTTAATAATAATGTGTCGTTTGCGACATGTTTATAGTTGGAGTATTGAGTCATTAGTATATTATTGGAAAACATAAATTCGATTGTGAAGTATTTTATTTATGTATGTTAATAATTGTATACAGTTACATAGTGTTAAGTTATCAGACGATTAGCTTAGAGTATTGACTGAGAATTATTTCACAAAAGAGAAATTGTTTACTGAATATCGTTTGAATTTAACAACATAATCGTATAACATAATATTTGTTTTCTTATATAAAATTATTAAAAAAATAACCATATCAGTTCAGTCTTGGAAATTGGAAAGATAACAAATGCTTATCACCGCCTGTCATGTTTTGCGTCTGGCAGTGAGCTATAAAATCCCAAAGAGTATGTAAACACACAGTTTTATCTTGAAAATCAAATGTATTTTATCTAAAGCAGTAACACTTTGAAATAAAACAAAAAAATTAAATAGGTAATTATTTTAATTTTAAAAATTTGTTTTGTTTAGTTGCCAATATTTTGAGAGTTTGAAGGAGTTTTGGCAGGGTTTTAGTATGGGTAATAGCGTAGGTTAGGGTTGAAAGCAAAACGTTTTGTGTGTTCCTCACATTTTTTTTCTTTAAAAATTATTATATTTAGTTTAGGTTATACAATTTAAGAGAACGCCATACATTATGGCGTTGGGTAAGGACAATTTTTCACAAAATCTCAATTTATTTAGTGTTCAAAGTTATTGTTTTTTTACTGGCGCGATATGGCGACTTAATTAGGAATAGGTACAATTAGTGTTTACTCTTAGCTATCAATGTACCTTTAAGTATAAGACATCGAAGCTACAATCAAATAAGAATTAAATAATGAAACTATTTTGTGTATTAGTTATGACAGAATTGAGGATACCTATTAATTGTAGTTAATATTTTTATCTGACTATAACAGCCTTCATTAATAGTCTAAGCAATAGGTAAAGCCACTGACTGCTTGTTCTCAGTAGGTATGTACAGCTTTTTCCAAAAAATTAGATTAGAAAACACTTTCTGTAAATGAGCTTTTTTTTTTAATTACAAAAATTCAAGTTATTGTTTAAATTTCAACAAAATCCGTTTTTTTAATTTAGTGTAGGTAATAAACCAACGAATAGTCATTAAATAAAATACAAATTCCTATGGCATAGTGTAAGTCTTTAGTCTTTATATTTCTTTTAATATCTGTATTATTTTTTATGGATACGACTAATATTTTACAGCGATATTATTATTTCGGTATATTTTGCTATCCTTTGTTTTTGTTCTCTAATAGGCCTTTGTGTGTCATTTTCTCAGTCATTTATACTATATTTAGGTTAAAAATGATTCGCATTAATGGTAAAAAAAATAACAATTATAATAATTAATGGTATTATATTTACCCGATAAACTTATTATATTATAAGTGAGTGGTGTCTTTATAATTTTTATACGCTATATCGATGGCCATTTACTTTGGAAACAACCGAAAATTAATTACAATTTCAACCCTCAACAAAGTCCCTAATAAATTTATCAAATTACATTTTAGATAATATTTTATATTGTAATTTAAATTTGGTTGAATTTTAGTGTGTGTCACATACATTTATAATACTTAACTGAACTTTTTGGACCCACGCGTTTCTTTTTAGTCAAAAACTAAAGATGTTTAACATTTTTTCAAATTGTAGTTCATTTTCGGTTGTTTTTAAAGTAAATGACATTTTAAATACAATTTTCTACAATTAATTGGTAAATTGTTCTTGTAGTAAAATACTTTTTTAATAATTAGTTCACTTTTTTACTATTTTTTTTTTTTTTTGGAAAAGCATGTTTTTAAAAAAGTTTTTTTTATCATAAACATTTGAAGGGCACAGGGGAAAAACGGTAGTAGTCACATTATGAAAATTTTAGAGTATAGCAAGAACATAGAACAAAAACAATCACATTAAATGCTATTCTTATAAAAAAAATTATTTATTTAATCAATCTATTTACATAAATAAAAAAAAATGAATGGCATAAATTAAAAAAAAAACTATTTGAAAAAAAAAATTGTTCATAATGTGACTACTACCGTTTTTCCCCTGTGCCCTTTATTTGTTTAAAAGTCATAATAAAATGATGTATTAATAAAGCTAAGGACCAAAATTCATACAATATAGGTGAATTGCGTATTATTTTTTTTTTGTGTTACTATTGTATTAAAAAAACATATTATAAAACATACTTCAAAAAAAGAGCACCGGATGTCTCTTTTAATATGTTTTGTGCTTTTTAAAAAAATGGGGGTTTAAAATTGAAATTTTGTATGTATTTTTATGGACCAGCTGTGATGGAATTGAACATTATTATTTTAATTTTTTCGGGTGCTGCTCGTTCAGAAAAAAAAAACAGTATCGTAATACTCGTTTAAGTGGTTCGTGGTAGTAGCGTAAATTGAAAACAAGTGGTTTCAGGTGGTTATTTTTTAATTTATGGGAAAAGGTATTTTGCCCGACGGTTGAAAAATATGTCTTAATAACGCAACGTCCTCTCGACAGAGAAAATCTATTGATAACAAAATAGTGCTGCAAGTCGTGCACTCGACGCCGAAATACTTGCACAACTCGCCGGTATTGTAACTCGAATAGTGCAAATACATATACACACCTACAGACCATATAATAATAATAATAATATTATATATAATATACACGGTGTGTTTGTACCCTTAGTACAGTGTATATGTATGTGTGCGTGAGCTGTCTCTTGGTCGTCATTGTCGGCACCGTACGGCTGTTATTAGCCTTATTTGCGCTAACGGGCCCTTTGCACACCGACGGCAAGGCAAACGCTTTTGGTCCATTGTTAACGGATATGTCAGCAAAAGCACGCTCGCCCGACACTGACACACCCCGTGACAGCTGTTATTCTCTATGTAAACGCCTATACACGCATATTATACAGCAGAATAATAGTTTATGTATAATACAGCCGATAATAGTGGCAACTAGGAGGTTACATGCAAAACTCGGAAACCGCCGTTGGATCTGGCCAACAACACATTTTCGCCGGGTCCGTCACTTCAAAGTAGGTACAGAACTCTCCTTTATATACCTGCGACAGCTTTGGCTCGACCGACCTTTTAAAAGGGACCAAGTTCGAAAGTGGCCCGTTTTATACCAAAAAGCCAGGCAAAATTTCGACTACTTAGGATGGTGGTCCGATTCAATTCTGTAAAGACATACGAGTTCTTTGGCGACTTAACTAGGTTATGTAAAAAAACTCACGTTTTAGTATTGACAATTTAATTTATTAAATTACAAAAAAATGAAAATCGACTTTCTACATAGCATAGCAAAGTGGCCAAAAAACCAAAGAATCTCTTTACAGAATTAAAATTGGACCATCCTATATAGTCGACATTTTGTCCGGCTTTTTGGTCTAAAATAAACTAAAATGGCTTTTACTTATAGAAAAAATTATTTAAATTCAAAATAATACCTCGAAACTTAAACAAATTAATTGACATGATCGAAATTTATTAAAACCACTTTTTTTTATATATTGCCTATACAAAACTCCTTAAAAACCGACCGCATGCAAACCCCTTAATCTTTAACATATTCATTTCAAACACAGTAGCGCAAATAGAGGGCAAGCTTAGACGTTCCACAACTCCTTTAAAAATGCAGCAACCAATTTTAAAATAATTGAAGGATTAACCAAAAGGGTACTTCCTTACACAAGACGTGACCATATTGTTTTTTGTCTTACACGATTCATGATTCAAAAAATCCACAAAAAACAAGCCGGTCGGGTTTAAATGGGTATTAATGAGTGTATAGTAGGCAATTGGATTTTACTGATTTATTTTCTTTCGACAAATACTTTTTGGTATTATGTTATGGATCTATTATATTTAAGTAATGTTAAACTTAAAATGTTTAACGATTTTGCATGATGCAAGCTTAACAGACCTTGAAGGCTCATCGCTGCCGTCAGATGATGATCTCTAAACCGAGTTCGCTGTCTATTAATTTTATGCATTCATCAATGGAAAAATCATACTTTTGAGTTTTTTCATTAAATTAACAAAAATGTAATAATTATAGAAAAAACTTTAAAAAGTAAAACAACATTTATTTTATCATAAAATATGTTGTTATTTTTGTTTAGTTCGTTATTTTATTTTTTATTTAATGTGCAAAGTTTAAAATTTGCTAATTGTTTTACCGGTTGGCTTTTTTCTAGGTCTTTTTACTGGATTGAACCCATTTAAACCCACTGGGTTTTAATGGGTTGTGCCCAGTACTTAATACTCTGCTTATATTTTTCAATTTTCATTTTTGTCAATGAACCTATTTCTATGTGTGTTTTTGTTTTAACAATTTTGACTAATGATTTAACGACGGATATAGCAGGAATTTATCTTAATGACTACACAGTACACCGAGCCTACGGATATCTTAACAACTCTATGAATTGGGTGTTTTGTTCATGACTCATTAACCACCTTATGTTGGCGTAACTCTCTAGTTACGGTAACAACTGGAAGGGACTTGTATACTTTCCTTAATTATTCATTTAAGCGGTATTTTGATTCGATAAAGTCATTGGAACCTCATAGATCTAATGATACAGTTCAAGTATAGCCTTAATGTTGTCCGGACTATTTGGAGACACTCTAAAGACTTTTCCCTTCTAAATCTTAGTAAATTCAAGTAGATTTAATTATTCCGCCTTCTTAATTTTCACCTTATCCCATTGGGATCGAACAGCCAAATCGGTTCTCTCCACAAACCTTACCCATCGTCATTTGTTTATTCACTTTACACACCTCCGTGTCTTTATTTAAAACGTTCATCCACTTCTTTCTCGGTCTATCTCTAAGTTGTTTTACTATTTCGCTTTCAACATGCCCAAACCAGCTCAATCTGTTTTTTCCACCTATCGACACAGCAACTCCTAAGCTTCCTCTTTTATGCTCATTCCTCATGCTGTTTGTCCTAATCATTCGTATCAACATTGTCATTTCAGCCACTACCGTTTAGTCTATGTTGCTCAGTGCCCAACACTCACTCGCGAGCCTCACTGTGTGGGGCTTGGACACATGTGTTGGTACAGTATTTTAAAAATGTCCTTTCACTTATTCTCTGTGTACCTTTAAGACTATAAATCACAATACTGGCGTGCCTATCACGAGCGACGGTAAACAGTTTAAGGGCGTTTAGCGCCGACTGCAGCAGCATTAAAATATACAGTCATTAGCGCTGCGTTGTAGACTTTCT